CATCCCTTCCCATTGCACACTTTTCTCTCCTCTGTTGTAATGAGAAGACATGACTTGCTTCCCCCTTCCACCATGAGTGTAAGTTTTCTGAGGCAGACTAATAGAGAATATTGGTACCCGGAGTGGGGCATTGCTGTAAGGATATGGGAAAATGTGGAGGCAACTTGGAACTGAGTAATGAGCAGAGGTTGAAACAGTTAGGAGTGCTCAGAAGAAGACAGAAGATGTGGGAAAGATTGGAACTTCCTAGAGACTGTTGAATGGTTTTGACCAAAATGATCTTAGCGATATGGACAATGAAGTTCAGGATTGTCTCAGATGGAGATGAGGACTTATGGGGAACTGGAGTAAAGGTCACTCTTGCCATGCTTTAGCTAAGAGTCTGGTGGCATTTTGTCCCTGCTCTAGAGATCTGTGGAACTTTCAACTTGAGAGAGATGATTTAGGGTATCTGGTGGAAGAAATGTCTAAGCAGCAAAGCATTCAAGATGTGACCTGGTTGTTTCTAAAAGTGTTTACTCATATGCGTGAACAAAGAGATTATCTGAAACTGGAACTTATATTTAAAAGAGAAGCAGAGCATAAAAGTGGTAGAAAAAAACAAACTCATTTTCTGAGGATAAAATCAAGCCTGCTCTAGAAACTTGCATATGTAAAGAGGATCCAAATGTTAATAGCCAAGACAGTGGGGAAAATATCTACAGAACATTTTAGACATCTTCATGGAGGCCCCTCCCATCACCAGTCTGGAGGCCTAGGAGGGTTAAATGGTTTTGTAGGTCAGGCCCAGGGCACTGCTGCCCTGTGCAACCTTGGGAGATGGCACCTTATTTCCCACTGACTACAGCTCCAGCCATGGCTAAGAGGAGTCAAGGTACAGCTTGGGTCATGACTTCAGAGGATGCAAGCCCCAAGTTTTTGTGCCTTTGACATGGTGTTGGGCTTATGAGTATGTAGAAAGCAAGAGTTGAGGTTTGGGAACCTATTCCTAGATTTCAGAGTATGTATCAAAATGCCTGGATGACCAGCCTGGCCAACATGGCGAGACCCCATCTCTACTAAAAACATGAAAATTAGTCAGGTGTGGTAGTGCATGCCTGTGGTCTCAGCTATTCAAGAGACTGAGGCACAGTAATTGCTTGAACCTGGGAAGTGGTGGTTACAGTAAGCTGAGATCTTGCCACTACACTCTAATCTGGGCATCCGAGCAAGACACTGCCTCAAAAAAAAAAAAAAAAAAAAAAAAAAAAAAAAAAAAAAAAAAATGCCTGAATGTGCAGGCGGGAGTCTGCTACAGGGGTGGAACATTCTTGAAGAACTTATATTAGGGCAGTACAGAGAGAAAATTTGGGGTTGGACCTCCCACACAGAGTCCCCACTGAGGCACTACCTAGTGGAGCTATGAGAAGAGGGCCACTGTCCCCCAGACTCCAGAATGGTAGATCCACCAACAGCTTGCACTGTGTGCCTGGAAAAGCTGCAGGCACTCAGCACCAGACAGCGAAAGCAGCCATGGGGACTGTATCTGCAGAGCCACAGGAGTAGAGTTGCCCAAAGCCTTGGGCACAAATCTCTTGCATCAGTGTGCCCTAGATGTGCAATGTGGAGTCAAAGGAGATCCTTTTGGAGCTTTAAGATTTAATGACTGCCCTGTTGGGTTTTGAACTTGCATGGGACTTGTAACCCTTTGTTTTGGCCAATTTCTCCCATTTGGAATAAGAGTATTTACCAAATGCCTATACCCCCATTATATTTTGGAAGTAACTAAATTTTTTTTTTTTTTTTTGGTAGAGTCTTGCTCTGTAGCCCAGACTGGACTGCACTGGTGCGATCTCAGCTCACTGCAAGCTCCACCTCCTGGTTTCATGCCATTCTTCTGCTTCAGCCTCCCCAGTAGCTGGGACTACAGGTGCCCACTACCATGCCGGGCTAATTTTTTGGTGTTTTTAGTAGAGATGGGCTTTCACCGTGTTAACCAGGATCATCTTAATCTCCTGACCTTGTGATCCGCCCGTCTTGGCCTCCCAAAGTGCTGGGATTACAGGTGTGAGGCACCGTGCCTGACCGGAAGTAACTAACTTTTTAAAATTTAATAGACTCATAGGTGGAAGAGACTTACCTTGTCTCAGAAGAGACTTTGGACTGTCGGTTTTTGAGTTAATGCTGAAATGGGTTAAGACACAGGGACTGTTGAGAAGGATAACTGTATTTTGCAATGTGAGAAGAACATGAGATTTGGGAACGACCAGGGGTTGAATGGTATGGTTTGGGTTTGTGTCTCCGCCCAAATTTCATGTTGAATTGGAGAAGGAACCTGGTGTGAGGTGACTGGATCTTGGGGGTGGATTTCTCCCTTTCTGTTCTCAAGATATCGAGTGAGTTCTCATGCAGTCTGATGGTTTAGAAGTGTGAGGCACTTCCCCCTTTGCTCTCTCCCTCTCTCTCTCCTGTCACTAGGAGAAGACACACCTTGCTTCCTTTTAGGCTTCTGCCATGATTGTGAGTTTTCTGAGGCCTCCCAGTCATGCTTCTTGTTAAGCCTGTGTAACTGTAAGTTAATTAAACCTTTTTTCTTCACGAATTACCCAGTCTCAGGAAGCTCTTCATACAGGTGTGAGAATAGACTAATACATTGATTACTAATATTCCACTATATGAATGTAACACAGTTTAGTTATCCATTTACCTACTGAAGGACATCTTCAATGCTTCCACTTTTTTATATTCGGGTACAGGTTTTTGTGTGGACATGTCTCCAACTAATTTATGTAAATATCTGGGAGTATGATTGCTTAATCATACAGTAACTCTATTTGCTTTGTAAGAAAATTTCACTCTGTCTTCCAACACTCCAGTACCATTTTACATGACCTCCAGCAATGAAAGGAAGTTCCTGTTGTTTTCCACTCTTGCTAGCATTTGATGTTTGCATTGATTTCTTCTTTTTTTTTTGAGATGGAGTCCTGCCTGCTCTGTCGCCCAGGCTGGAGTATGCAGTTGGTGATCTCAGCTCACTGCCACCTCCACCTCCTGGGTTCAAGCAATTGTCCTACCTCAGCCTCCCAAATAACTAGGATTACAGGCATGTACCAGAATGCCCGGCTAATTTTTTTTGTATTTTTACTAGAGATAAGGTTTCACCATGTTAGTCAGGCTGGTCTCAAACTCCTGGTCTCAAGTGATCTGCCTGCCTCAGCCTCTCAAAGTGCTAGGCTTACAGTTGTGAGCCACTGCACCCAGCCTGTTTTTGCAGATTTTTAAGAGATCCTTATATACATAGGACATTTGGCTGTGTCTGTGTCTGAATTACAAACTCTTCTAATTTACCCCTGCTGTTGAACTTTGCTTAAAATACATTGTGTGATGCAGATTTTAAAATATTTTATTATCTGTTCTTGTTCTTTCTTCTTTTTTAAATAAGCGTAGTCACTTACAGGTAGTTTTGTTTCTTCACCCTCCTGTCACTCTCCATCCACAAGTAGGCTCCAGTGTCTATTGTTCCCTACTTTGGGTCCATATGTACTTAATGTTTAGCTCCCACTTACAAGGGACAACATGCGATATTTGGTTTTCTTTTTTTTTCTTTTTTTGTGACGGAGTCTCGCTTTGTCGCCCAGGCGGGAGTGCAGTGGCGCGACCTCAGCTCACTGCAAGCTCCACTTTCCGGGTTCATGTCATTCTCCTGCCTCAGCCTCCCGAGTAGCTGGGACTACAGGCACCCACCACCACGCCCAGCTAATTTTTTGTATTTTTTAGTAGAGACGGGGTTTCACCGTGTTAGCCAGGATGGTCTGGATCGCCTGACCTCGTGATCCGCCCACCCTCGGCCTCCCAAAGAGCTGGGATTACAGGTGTGAGCCACTGTGCCTGGCCACGATATTTTGTTTTCTCTTCATGCATTAGTTCACTTAGGTTTCAACATCACTGATTATTAGAGATTTACAAACCAAAACTACAATCAGATACCATCCCACACCAGTCAGAATGGCTGTTTTTAAGGGGTCAAAAAAATATATACTGAAGACGTAGTGGAGAAAAGGGGATGCTTATACACTGCTGGTGGGAATATAAATTAGTTCTGTCATTGTAGAAAGCAGTCTGACGATTTCTCAAAGAACATAAAACAGAATTACCATTCAACCCATCAATCCTATTATTGGGTATATATACAAAGCAATGTAAATCCTTTCACCATTATTTTTCTATTATACGTTGAAGCATTTGGGTCATACTTACAAACACATTTATTCTTCCTAGATAATTAAAATAAATTCTACTATGAGTAGTTCTAATACTTACAGTTTCAGGAATCAAATTTATATATTGGGTCAGTACATAAATTACACATTAATGTTTCTATAAGAGGTAAGGTACAATTGCAGCAGCTTTTTTTTCTTCCAGATAATCTAGTTATTTTAATGTCATTTGCAGGATACTTCTGCCTATGAATAGAAGAGTATTGAAACTTTTTTTTCCCATTTTTTTCCCTCAATTACCATATACCCAGAGCTGCAGCTGGTCATTCTGTGTCTTCCTGGAGAAGCCAGTGGGAGAGAGCTTTGTAATCAAAAGAGATTCAAGTACAAATCCTAGCTGTATTTCTTTTACTTGTGCAATTTTGGACAAGTTGCTCATTATTCTTGAATCTTGTTTTCTTCATATTTAAGGAAAAAGGAGAAATATATACATTTCCTACAGTTTCTGTGAGTATTAAAATGAGATACCAGAATGCTTGATACAATAGTGAATACAAAGTAAATGTTCACTAAATGGTAGCTGTCATTATTAATATTATGATCACACTAAAAATGCTGTATCTTAGACATTAACATAGAAAAAAAAATCTATTAATGAAACGTGTTTATGACAACTTACCCAAAAAATACGGAATTATATATCCTACAAGCCCCTCGTGCTCCACAGCTGGTGGTGGACCACTTCATACATGTTTTATCAATCAGAGCCCCAAAATATATTGGAGCTAGAATTCCTCCTGCAACATGAGATAAAAAGGTATCAATCCAAGTGAAAGGTTTCAAATGTAACTGGGTGATTGTCTACACTGATACATTTTGGATTAATACAAGTTTAAAGTTTTGGAAAATTATTCCATTGTTTTGGCCTCCATCCACCCAAGAATCAAAATTATTAGAAATCACAAAGGCTTAAATCATATGGTAATGTCACAGATGTATTTGATCTACTCTTCTCTCCCTATATACAGAGGGAAGAAAGAGTATTATACACCTGTATACTCTGTTCTTCCTACAATACAAATTAACTGAAGCCGGATTGGTAAAAAGGGGAATGTTGTTAGTAAAACATGAAAGTTATGCTGATTCATATGGAATTTTTCTTAGGCAAGAATGGCTGGATTACTGAGAGTTAAATTATAACTTTATGAGAAAAGGAAAAGCTCTCACCTCAACTGCTGTAAAGGCAGGAGATTTTAATACTATTTTAAGATAATAAAAAAGTAAATGCTTACACGGGGATTCCCTCCCCAGAGAAGTTCAGGCCCAGCTTCAAACAGTGCTCAGCTATTGGCCAATTTCACTTTTTTCTGGGCTCAGAGCCCAATTCTCTCTTTCTTACTGCTATTAGAGCCCACGATCAAGCATTTTCTCTCCATCGATTTCATGCACTTTTTAATATCTCCTAAAGCAGGCTAGGCTGCAGGTTAGGGTCTCTGTTGCTAAATTTTGTTTCTGTCAGTGGTCTTTAGTGCACAACGATACATATATTTTCAGTGGTCTGTCCAAAGTCAATTTTTTATCTGTAGTGCCTGATTTCGATGAATGTGCAGCATTCCAGGGATACATATGTTATTTATAGGAGAAGTATAAATTCTGAGATTAACTCCTAGTTTTAAGAATAGGTAATTTGTTCAAAATTTTGAAGGCCATCATAGTAGAGAGCTATCGTTTAGATGGCAGAAATGAAGCATACAAGATTTCACTTTGTTCTTGTTCTGTTTTGTGATTCATACTTTTCAGATTTTGTTTTGTCACAAAAAATGACAGTGATTTATACATGAATGTTTCACCGATTCTTTTTACGTTTAATCATTCTCAATTTTCTGAGACTGAGAAATAGTAGAATCACAACGGAATGTTGTCTGAGGCCAATGCATCTGAAGCAAACTGGTCCTGAAATAATGGGTGAAAAATTTGCAGATTTCAAAAAATCACAGCGACCCTTTGAAAAATAAAGAAAAGATGCCAACAATTTATTTTCTTCATGTTATGCCACTGGTTTAAACAAACTTTATGAAGTAAATGTTTTAAGTAACAAACTTTGTCTTATTAGAATTGTAAATCTTCTGATAATCTGTTTTCTAAATATCTCTTTTAGGTTAATACACTATATAGGTCTTCTACCATTTACACATATATCATATTTAAGACAACTGTTCATGAATTGGAAGTTTGCTACTAAGTGTGGATGTTTCCCACAGAAGCATTTAGGGTCCATTGTACCATATATTAGACATAACAAAATTGGATATTCATAATTAGAATGACAAAATTCATTTTTTTCTATGTTATGTTGCTAAAACAATTTCTTCTATTGTTATAATCTCATTTCAACATATCAGAAGGAGTCCTAACTACCCAGATGCTGTTTTCAGCCTCTGTGGCCCAGGTTCTAGGAGCGAGATATCTTCTCTGAATGTGGAGGTAGAGAACTGCCATAATTACAGAGGCTGGAAGATTAAGGACCCAGAAAGGGAATGCTGGGATAGAGCCAATGGAACCCTGCAGCATCTTCATCTTCTCTCTCCTATTCTTTTTATATTTCCTTTTACCTTTCTGGATCTGTGACTTTCTCACCAAATACACTTCATGTACAACTTCTTCACGGTAATTTGCCCATAGAGTTATACTTTTTCCCTTGCTTGCAAGGGTCCCAGAAACTGACCCCTCCCACTTCCTTTTCCTTCTGCCATCTGTGGTTACTTACAGGCCATAATCAGTCCTCTGCACCAATCCCTAGATGAATGATGCCCTTTTCCTACTTCCCAGGAATAAGCACATAATGTTTATAATTCTTACAAAGGAGCAACTCACAGAGGTTAGACTAGACATTATTTAACAACAAGTATCTGTGCAGTAAAAAAGGCAAATGGCAATAAGGGATAAAGGGTCATTTCCTAAATCTTTTCTCATCACTTTTGAATATTTAGAAATAGGCCTTCAGCCTCTGGAGTCTACAATCCTACCCTTTGCCACCATAAACCACAATTTTCTGAGCTTTCTTTTATTCAGGACATCCTCTTAATCCAACATGCCTAGTTCTAGAGTATGAATTCTCATTCCCTTTTGCATTAACTCCTGCTAATGGTTAGCTGTCCAGCCGTACAGGACCAGGCAGTGGGAAATGGCACAGTTAATGTCACCTTCTGTTGTTTTAGACAACCTTAGCCTGACCAGATTCCCAGGGCTCCCAAGCTACTTTAGGGCTGTCCTAAGTAATGTCTCCATTTGGAAGGAAGGTCCTCCACTCTGCCTATACCTGGGAGAAATATTCTTATTTTTCTGAAAGAAGGAAAGCCTCAGAGACCACCTATCTTTCTGTTTCTGTTACAAAGAATATAATATAAACATGATGATTCCTTGCTCTTAACAGATAGACTCTAACTAGAATTAACGATCAAATGATCTTTTAGGTCACTCAATTTTCCTGTTCCTTTTTATTTTAATTTATCATAAAATAGAAATGATTCTTACTTACTCCTTTTTATACAGTCTTAGAGTGGAAAATTAATTGCATTCAGTCTTTAAGATTTAACATTAATATTTATATGTTAAAATGTGTAATCTATATATTTATCATACCTAGTGTTCTTATAACCATTGAATGAAAACCCATTGCAAGTGCTTTCAATTCAGGTTGAACAATCCTGAAATATGATAAAGGCAAAGAAACAATACATGTCGTTAAAAAATCAAACTGAGTTAATATTAAAACATTCATCACTATCGTTCCTCTCCCTGGTAGAATGAATACTCTTAAGTGAATTTCCCACATTATATAAAGTTACATTTTCAACTGTTTTAAAAGGTAAACACCTGGGTGACAATAATTTCCTTATTTCTTCAATGCTTTATGATTTCAAGACAGTTTAACACATATGTTCACATTTGATCCCTATGAAAATCCTATAAGAAAGTGGTCAGAATAGACTTTATTATGCTGATGAAGAAAATGATTTTGTGTGGACTATTTAGTCAAGGTAGCTCATATTAAAAGATTATATACTTTTATCCAGGAGTAATTCTTAGGAGACCTCTTTTAACCACCTTACTTCTGTCATCAATGTTAACAGAATAGCTTACTAATATGATTTGTAAATTACACTATACTACCAGAAGGGTCAAAAAACTTTTCTATGTTGTAGCATCTAATGTATTTAACTGTCATATTAAAGATACAGAGCATATTTGTATCCTCACTTGGAAATTCACTCACTCTTACATTTCTACAATTCCATTTTTCTGTGTTCAATAAACTGATGATGCTACCATCCCTGCGATAACTTAGTACCTACCAAGTGAAATGGAATTATCTTTCATTAGTAAAGGAGGTGGGTTGGGATGAGGGGGATGACTGTGGCTCAAATAACCAACTTTTACTAAATTTTGAATTAACTGATAAAAAGGGTGATTTTTTCCTCGAAGTGTTGGATGGTTTTTTTTCAGAGAGCTAAGTAACCGCCATCAATCAAGAAACATTCACTAAGCACCTACTAAGAGATACCATGCTAGTTAATATTCTTGAAAGTAAATAGACAAATTATGCTTTATCTCATCCAAGTGACTTGTAGAAGTGTATCACTTAATCTCTCTTGGCCTCAGTTTCCTTGTTTGCTAAGTAGGCATGATGATGCTTATCTCATATGTTATAAGAATCCAATACAATGAACTAGCACTCAAAACCTCAGTTTCATGTACACACATTTGCCTCTATACCTTGCCAGAGAGCTGCCTTTTATTGAGATTCTGAAAAGAATTCAATAGAGCTTATAAAATTTTAAAAGACAAAAATTAAGTTAAACCTAATACATTAAAAGTTAAACAGAATAGTTATACATTAGGAGAGACAATAAATGGAAAGTGTGTTTTGGCGCGGCTTTGACATAGGACAGCAGCACTTTGTTAGCACAACTGAGGGCACAAAATTACACTGAGGACAATGAATCTGACATGATTTGGCTCTGTGTCCCCATCCAAATCTCATCTTGAATTTTACTCACATAATACCCATGTGTTGTGGGAGGGATCTGGTGGGAGATAATTGAATCATAGGGGCAGGTCTTTTCTGTGCTGTTCTCATGATAATGAATAAGTCTCACGAGATCTGATGGCTTTATAAGTCAGAGTTTTCCTGCACAAACTCTCTTTGCCTGCTGCCATCCATGTATGATGTGGCTTGAGCCTCCTTGCCTTCCACCATGATTGTGAGGTTTCCCCAGCTACATGGAACTGTAAGTCAGATTAAGCCTCTTTCTTTTGTAAATTGCCCAGGCTCAGGTATGTCTTAATCAGCTGTGTAAAAACAAACTAATACAGTAAATTGGTACCAGCAGAGTGGGATGTTGCTAAAAAGATACCTGAAAATGTGGAAGTGACCTTGGAACTGGGTAACAGGCAGAGACTGGAACAGTTTGGAGGGCTCCAAAGAAGATAGAAAAATGTGGGAAAGTTTGGAACTTCCTAGAGACTTGTTGAATGGCTTTGGCTAAAAGCCTGATAGTGATATGGACAATAAGGTCCAGGCTGAGGTGGTCTCAGATGGAGATAAGGAATTTGTTGGGAACTGGAGCAAAGATGACTCTTGTCATATTTTATTGAAGAGACTGGCAGTATTTTGCCCCTGCTCTAGAGATTTGTGGAACTTTGAACTTGAGGGAGATGATTTAGGGTATCTGTCAGAAAAAATTTCTAATCAGCAAAGCATTCAAGAGGCGACTTGGGAGCTGCTAAAGGCATTCAGTTTTATAAGGGAAGCAGAGCATAAACGTTTGGAAAATTTGCAGCCTGACAATGTGATAGAAAAAAAAGAAAAATCCATTTTCTGAAGATAAATTCAAGCCGCCTGCAGAAATTTGTATACCTAAGGAAGAGCTGAATGTTAATTCCCAAGACAATGGGGAAAATGTCTTTAGGGCATATGAGAGGTCTTCACGGTAGCCCCTCCCATCAAAGGCCTGGAAGCCTAGAATAAATGGTTTCCTGAGCCAGGCCCAGGGTCCCTGTGCTATGTGCAGCCTAGTTACTTGGTGCCCTGCATCCCAGCTGCTCCAGCTATGGCTGAAAGGGACCAATATAGAGCTCGGGCTGTGCCTTCACAGGGCGCAAGCCCCAAGCCTTGGCAGCTTCCACGTGGTGTTGAGCCTGTGGGTGCACAAAAGTCAATAATTGAGGTTTGGGAACCTCTGCCTAGTTTCAGAGGATGTGTGGAATGCCTGGATACCCAGGAAGAAGTTTGCTTCAGGGGCAAGGTGCTCATAGAGAACCTCTGTTAGGGCAGTGCGGAAGAAAAACGTGGGGTCAAAGCCCCCACATAGAGTCCTTACTGGGGCACTGCCTAGTGGAGCTGTGAGAAGACAGTCACCGTCCTCCAGACTCCAGAAGCTGTCAGTAGATCCACCAACAGCTTGCACCATTCACCTGGAAAAGCTGCCAACCCGAGAAGGCAGCCTGGAGGGAGGCTGTACCCTGCAAAGCCACAGGGATGGAGCTGCCCAAGACTACAGGAACCTACCTCTTGCATCAGCCTGACCCAGATGTGAGACATGGTGTCAAAGGAGATCATTTTGGAGCTTTTAAGTTTTGACTGCCCCGTTGGATTTCAAATTTGCATAAGGCCTGTAGCCCCTTTGTTTTAACCAATTCCTCCCATTTGGAAAGGCTGTATTTACTGTATTTACCCAATGCCTGTACCCCCATTGTATCTAGGAAGTAACTATCTTGCTTTTGTTTTTACAGGCTCATGGGTGAAAGGAACTTGCCTCATCTCAGATGAGACTTTGGACTGTGGACTTTTGGGTTAATGCTGAAATGAGTTAAGACTCTGGGGGGCTGTTGGGAAAGAATGATTGGTATTGAAATGTGAAGACATGAGATTCGGAGGGGATAGGGGTGGAATGAAATGGTTTGACTCTGTGTCCCCATCCAAATCTCATCTTGAATTTTACTCACATAATTCCCACATGTTGTTGGAGGGACTCAGTGGGAGATAATTGAATCATGGGGGCAGGTCTTTCACATGCTGTTCTCATGATAGTGAATAAGTCTCATGAGATTTGATTGCTTTATAAGGTGGACTTTTCCTGCACAAGCTCCCTTTGCCTGCTGCCACCCATGTAAGATGTGATTTGCTCCTCCTTGCCTTCTACCATGATTGTGAGGTTTGCCCAGCCATGTGGATCTGTAAGTCCAATTAAACCTCTCTCTTTTATAAATTGCCTAGTCTCGGATATGTCTTTATCAGCAGCATAAAAACAAACAAATACAGAATCCATGCCTGCTATTTAGGAGGAAGTTTATTTCACAAAGAGATGGTCAGGAGGAAATCAGTAGAAAGGGGAGTTTAACTTATCTATTTAGTTATTACTCTCAAATATCAGATTTCTCTTTTTTTTTTTAAATTTATTTATTATTATTATACTTTAAGTTGTAGGGTACATGTGCATAACGTGCAGGTTTGTTACATATGTATACTTGTGCCATGTTGCTGTGCTGCACCCATCAACTCGTCATTTACATCAGGTATAACTCCCAATGCAGTCTCTCCCCCCTCCCCCCTCCCCATGATAGGCCCCGGTGTGTGATGTTCCCCTTCCTGAGTCCAAGTGATCTCATTGTTCAGTTCCCACCTATGAGTGAGAACATGCGGTGTTTGGTTTTCTGTTCTTGTGATAGTTTGCTAAGAATGATGGTTTCCAGCTGCATCCATGTCCCTACAAAGGACACAAACTCATCCTTTTTTATGGCTGCATAGTATTCCATGGTGTATATGTGCCACATTTTCTTAATCCAGTCTGTCACTGATGGACATTTGGGTTGATTCCAAGTCTTTGCTATTGTGATTTCTCAAAGGAGATTTTGGGAAGGGAGAGATTGCACTTCACCCCTGGTTGAGTTTTTTGACAATTGCCTGACATGTATTTTTCACTGTAATTGATTTTCAGAAGTTACACTTTGTCCTACACACACAAGGTAAACTGATATTTGTTATTGAGCCTTATTTTCACCCATGGAAAGGGTTAGCATGCAGGAGACTTGGGGAACTTGCAGATAGGGAGGATATTTTCCTAAGGGTGGGCCTGAAATCTTCAACAGTTCAGTGGAGATGATGAATGTGTGTGATACAGTAATATTAACATACAATAACAATCACACACACTTACCCCTACATTCACATGAATGCACACTCACACTTCTTGCCGCATGCTCATACTCATATCCTCACTTGCATGCATACACCCGTGTGTGGTTATCATGTAAGTTATTTATCACCGTAGTGTGACTCCTGCTTTACATATGATATTGAGCAGCTCTGTGTTTTGATGAATCTCTCACAGGATGAATTTATCACAAAAAGCACCCTAAGAAGCTAAATGTGCTATTTCATTTAATTATTTAATTTAAGAGATTTCATTTAAATTGTTCCTCTGTTGTTCTTTCTAATGACAATCAACCATCATGACCTGCTGTTTCTTGAGGTAATTTCCAGTTAGACCTAATGAAACCCTAACAATAGATAGCACAGGTAGGGAATGCTTGTTTTCCTGTTTGCAAAAGATTGAAGAAAAGTTCTAATTTATTGTGTATATGAGCCAAATCCTTTCTAGCTAAGCCACTAAAATGTAGTTTTTTTAAAAAGTTCTAAAACATT